TGACAAGCAGCCACTATGGACTTAATCTGACACAGGATGTTATATGCTTGGGTGCCCTCAACCCAAGTGGCGTCTTGAGTGAACTTCTGAGATGTCTGAGCACATTTCACATGCCTGTTTGGAAGCAAGAACCTGGCTTGTGCTTAGGACAGACAGAGTGTTAAGAGCCCAGGAGAGAAAATTATCCCTGAGGGCTTATGGTTAATTAAGCCCCGCTTTGACCAGTCTTAGCAGGAAGTGTTTACAGGGTCTAGACCTGGTCACTGCCTGGGCTCAGGCCTCGGTGGTGTGCCACTATCCAGAGAGGGAGATCTTGTAGGGGCAGAAGGCCACGCCGGAGCATAACTTTTGCCAGGACTGACTGGCTCCCTTCCTTTCTGGCAATTGGGGTAGGTCGGATGGCTGACTTAACCTTTGGACCAGTTCACATAGATCTTGACATTTTGCCTACGTAATGGCAACTTCTTTAATTGCCCTAAACAAGGAGTATTAGATGCCAAAGAGGAGAGAATGGTGATTATATTTTGTGCCCTATGTCTGCTGAGAGAGGGGGTGGGCTGGCAGTTTGGGGGTGGGGGTGGGAACAGGAGAGCAGATGTTCCTTCAAAGTGATCCTCAGTGGGCCTCATTTCATGAAACAGAAATTCCTAAAAAGTGTTTCTCCAGTGTTGGTGAACACTGTATTAGATGGGGCAGGGGTGCAATTTTAAAGAACCGCATGATCGTCCCATAAAGATCATTTTTGTATTGCAGATCAATCTAGTCTCTTTGGTGAGTTTGGAATTTCTTGGACCATAGTGTGCTTCTGGCTTAGCAGCCTCTCCTTAGCCTGGCAGCCTTCAGCAAAGTTTGCCACAGGATCTGGCATGCTTTATTTGGTTCTGCTGCTCAGAGTGGATCCTTAGGCCTGGAGTGAGTGGGCCCGGTTTGGTTATAACTAAAGAATGTGTGAGTGGCTGGTTGCTATTGTTTCAGTGCTGGGAAAGCCCCTGCAGGGTAGACAGTGCCCCCATCTCAGATCAGGGACCCTACGTATAGAAACCTGAATATCCATGCCTTAAAGGGGGAGCCCGCCTCTGAATAGATGGTGCTGGGGAAATCTGTATTCAGGTACAGCACCTGCATCAGGAAAGGTAAGAAAATCTTCACTGCTGCTTATAGATTAGATCAGACATCTAGGGCACCAGCTGGTCTGGTGATCTTCCAGCTCTGATTACTTTTGTTAAGAGCTAGAAAGTTGGATGCCACGTTCACATGCCTGAGCCTCCCAGGTGATGACAGAATCACCACTGGAAGGGGCCTTCCCCACCAGTGTTTCTCAGCACCTACAGGTGAACATAATAAAAAGATTCTGTGGGCAGATACACTTGGGAAACCCAGGGTTAAATTAAGTCAAACGGGTTTCTTCATTGTTGAACTTCTCAGAGTCTCTAACATGCATCCACCAGAGGGGCAGAGACTGCATTTCTCTCCAACCTCCTTGACCACAGAGCATCTCTAGACAGCGTACTTCTTGCCACACTTTGGAAACCTCATATGGAAGCAGTGTTTCTCAAACTTGGACATGTGCATCATCATCTCTGGAAGGGCTTGAGACATGCAGGGAGGCTTGGGTTTCTCTCCCAGAGCTTCTGCATTTCTGACAAGGTCAGTGACACCATGGGCCACGGACCATACTCTGAGAACCACTGGTCTAGACTGATCCCTTTATTTCATGGAGAAGAAAATAGCTGAACCAAGGAGCATTTACTAATAACTGCTGCCATTAACTGAGGCAGGCACCTGGCAGGCACTTCCCATGCCTGTTTCTAAGGGCCAGTGTAGTGATGACAGGCAGCCACTAGAAGGGAGGGGTGGGGGGCACAGCACAGATAATTCGTCTCTTAGCGCTCTACACTGTGCTGCTCATTCAGGGTCTTCCTAAGTATCAGTGTTGGTTTGGGTCACATATGTTATTAGAGGTTCTTATAGGGACTTCAGAAGCTCCTGACACTGTATGCAGGATTGTAGGTATGCAGTGTGTGCATGTGTGAGGGTACAGGCCAGCTCGTGCATTTTTCTCTAGACAGGATCATGTCTTACATGAAGGTCAACTGGCTAGATTGATCCCTGCTGAATTGTGGAGGAGTTAAGGGACCACAAGTTTCCCCAGTGTTTATGATGCACTAAAGCAGCCCCTTGGGCAATGAGCACGAGTGGCTGTGGGTGACGTGGGGCCAGAAAGCACAGCAGAACAAGCAGCCCAAGTGGGGTGTCACATACCCCCCACACCCTGGAGGTCAGCAGTAGTTAGCACAAAACTGCTTGTTCACCCGGACCAGCTGCTTGCTGCTTGAACTCCGTTTTGCCCAGGAGCTCTACTGATCTGCTCTGCTGAGCAGAAATGTGTGGGAGAAGCTCAGGCTTGGTCTTGGGGGGCACTGCCCTCTGCTGGCAGTGGGTGCCACTGCACCTCTCAGACCTGAAAGAGGTGGCTAGGCAGGCTTGGAGTTCTGTGGAATGCAGTGAGAGGAGCCACCCTGTTGGCAGGGGCAGTGGTGTCCAAGCCACGGGGCGCAGAGTGATGAATTTCAGGGCCTCTGTTTATTCCATTACCACCACATCATCCCCAGGAATTAGCCAGTGGGCCAGGTTCAGCTGCGCTGAACTAAGTACGACTTATCCTGGACCCCACAGCCCAGTCAGCCTGCTTCTCCCCCTGGAGTGCTCGGGTGTCCTAGACCAGGCTGACTGCAGGGCTTGGGTGTGAGGACGGTGTGGGTGAAGAGGCCAGCATGTGCAAGAGGTTGGCTGAGGCTGGGGTGGGTGTGGGAGATGAAGGGCTTCCTTCTCTCAGTCACTGTCACTGAAAGTCATGCCATCCACTGCGCCCCCACCCCCTGGTCAGACCCCCTCTTCCTGTGTCTCTGAAACACCAACATGTCTTGGCCTCTTGGGGCTCAGTGCCCCAGCCCTACACCCAGGCAGCACCAGTTGCCACCACTGCGCTCCCTGCGACTCCAGTGCACACAGACCCATCCCCTCCTGCTGTGTGTTTAGGTTCCCAGCCCCTCACCTGCCATGAGGCTGTGCCCCCGTCCCCTCCTTTACCACCTGTCCCAGGAAGGCAGCTCCAACTCTGCCCTTTGCTTAGTGAGCAAGTGGATTCAGATGCACAAAGCCATAAGCCATGGGTAGGTATGAAATTTTTCTTTGTCTTTCTCTTACCCACCCTCTCCTCACTTTTGCCCCTCCCCCTAAACATCTGTACTCCTCTCTCCCTCTTCCTTCCCTTTCTCCCACACGTATCTTCTTTGTTTTTTTCTTCTTTATCCTGCATATACTCCTAAATTCCCCAAGTGACATGTTTGGTAGCCTCCCTGCTTGCAAAGAGTTTCTGGTCCCTCCTTCCCTTAATTGCTATTGAATGCTGAAGATGAAGCTGACCCTGCCTTAAATGAACTTCAGTACCAGAAGTGTGGTGAACTTCAGCCACCACCAGCTTCCAAGGAATATAGCTTTGCTCCCTCGATGCAGGGGACCCCTTCATGCTGGTGATCTGATTTCTAGGAATATCCAGTGTGGACCCCGCCCCACCAGAGGATCCCTCATGGGAGGCTGGCCCAAGGTCCCTGAGCCGCATTCCTGGTATGGGCAGAAGCTCAAAACGCATCTGTGGTCCTTTTAAGTCTTCATTTCCTGAGGAAGTAAGGAGGTTGAGATAGAGTGCCCCAGTGTATCCCCTTACCCTGGAGCCACCCTGTGAAGGAGGCCCATGGAGTATAAGGAAATGCTGAGGACTTCTGCATGTGCGCCAAGACCGAAGGCTGGGATCCTGTGTGAGCTCTGTCTGGGGCCCCCTCCTAGACATGTTACGAGAGCAAGTAGAGCCTGGGCCCTGGATCCTGCCTGACCTGGTGGGGTTCTGTGCCCATGGGGATGTCATTCACAATACCCAGATCTCAGTGGATTTCCTCAGCTGTAACATCTATTTTATTAAACTGTCAAAGTAGATGTGCCAGGGTAAGATTCCTTCCAGCATTGCATTCTACTCTAGAAGCACTTCGGGCCAGCCCCAGGTAAAAGATCCATCTTTCTCCTCCTGCCACACTGGGGGGATGCCAGTCCCCGTGGAGCCGTCCAGCTCTCTTGAGCAGGATTCCCTTTTGATGTAGTTTGCTCTCCGTCCCGCACTCCCAGCTTCCCATGTTGCCCTCGGGGTGTGATGGGGCCATCCCTCCTCCATGAAAATGAGAGGAGCAGTGGTAAATGGGCATTTCTTTCTTCCGTCCAAAGGCTGAGGCAAAACCAACATTGCCGACGGACGGACATTTCTTAAAGCCAAAGCACATTCGCTCTTTGGTTTGTGTCTTCACATTTCCTCAGCGCAGAACCGGGAACCTTCAATCAAGTGGACAAACCATCACTCAATCCATTTGTTTTGCCACTGGCCTTCCACTTTGGAAACCTAATGGAAAAGATGGGGCTACAGGTCCTCCTCAGCAGAGTGAGCAGAGGGCTTGGGGTACCAGAGACCCCACAGTGCCAAGAAGCCAGAACTCCTCTTGTAAAAGAATAGGAGCAGAATCTCAAAGCTCTCCTGGCCAGCTTACTGGCACAGATGGGTCCTGAGCTGTCCCTCCTTTGTCAAAGGAGATGCATGTTTCCATACCTGCTTAGAAAACCAGGAGGCGGCCTGCTGCCTAGCCTAGGTGTCACTGAGCGAGCGCAGAAATAGGGACTCGCTGGGCCAGGTGGGCTGCAGTAGTGGCTGGCCATCACCTTGGCAGGAGGGCGGGAGCGAGGGAGCTTCTGGGCCTGGTGTGCTCCCCCAGGGGGAGCTTTGTTGGGGGCTTGGTTTGGTGTTCTGTCGGGACCATGGAAGGCCCTTGGGGAGCCGCCCCCCACCAGCACTCGAGAGCATGTGTGAGCCGGCTCCATCAGCCCGTTGGGATGCTCCCAGGATGAGGATGGCCAGTGGGAGCCCTGGTTCACAGCCTTCTCTCCACATGTCTTTCCAGATGCGCTGGCTCCCTCCCTCCGAGGCTACTTCTCAGGGCTGGAAGTCCCGTCAGTTCTGCTGAATACTACGTAAGTACTTGGCTCGAGGGACGGCTGCATCAGGTGCCTTAACAGGCCCAGTACAAAGCAGATGTCCGGGATGTGGGCGGCTCGTGTCCCGTCACTGCCTGTCACTTGAGGAACTCCTCTGAGGTGGTGCATCGCTCCAGGGAGATTGTCACCTGGGACTAAGGGAGAAGCAGGGGATGGTGCTCTGTCCAAGTCTAACTTGAGGCCCCAGATCGTGGTCTTACACTTCCTAAATCAGCAGCTAGTGCCAGCTTCCGTGTCAGGTGCAGCCAGCATGAAACTGCCACCGTCCTCTGGCTCCAGGCGGACAGCACCCGCCAGCACACGTAGGGGGGGCAATGTCACGGGAGTCCTAGCCATTTAGCAGAATTAACTTCCTGCGTGCGAACACATTAGAACTTTAGGTAAGCTCTGATCTGTGTAGCCCCCTAATCCTTCAGTTGAAGGCAGACAGAGCGCCGTTTCTAGCAGGCTTTCCTTAGACTTTCTCATCTCAAAGGAGACAATATGCTACATTGGCATCTCTGCACCATTTGATTTTAGACTTAACCTTGCTTCAGGGAACCACCAAGTGGATCTTTTTTCTATAAATGTATAATATGCGTAAAAGTCTAAATGCCTTCTTAATTCAGTATCTTGACTGGATTTCTGTTAAATACAAAGAAAGCTCTGTTACTCTGAACTCTAATGTGGTGGAAAGTCTTTGAGGTGTTCTGCCCTTATGGTCTTCTCTTGGTTTATATCATTCCTTCACAAGACAGGAAGAGAAATGAGAACAGGGAGGGACCAGACCTTCATCCCTTTAGAAATGCTAGAGAGGTCATGCAGAGTTATGTGCCTGCTTCTACCTGATGCTGATCTTTTGAAGGAGGTATATGGGGAAAACTGGCCTCCGGTTGACTTAGGCTCAGCTTAAATGGGGGAACAGTTTCAGACCATTCATGGGGGAAGGACTGGGAGAATGGTCGATGCCCTCTGCCTCCCACGACTGTGTGCTCCTGTTTCCAGAGGCTGGTGGTGTTCACCCCAAGGTACCTAGGATTGGGTAAGTGGGATATTCTGAAGCTCATAGAAGAATTGATGCAGGTAGATCTGGGCATTTGGCATAAGGGGGTAGCTGAGAAAGTTGATGAGAGTGGAAGAGCGGTGAGTGGGACGCAGCCTTGAGGCTCACCTAGACATAAAGAGTCCGCAGAGGATGAGCAGCCTGTGGAGAAGGCACGGTGTCCAGAGGAGTAGGTGAGGGCTGGAGCCTGAAGGGCAGTGGTGAGCTGCTAGGTTCAGCAGTATCAAATGGTATAGGAAAGTTGAGTAAGATGAGAGAAGACCTCCGAATTTGGCAGTCTCACTTGACTGAAGATGGTGGTGGCATAGGGCCTAAGGAAGGATTTTTTTTTTAAAGCATTTACATAGGCCTAAAGGAAGGCATGATCATTAAGCAGTTGCATGGTTCCAGCCAGTCAGATCCTGCGCTTTGTTTATATCTGCTCCCTAAGTTGTTCCAGATCATCCTTCCTTCCCCACAGACCTATCCACCAGGGACTAGAGGCAGCCCTGGCTACCAAAGGAGGGGTAGCAGTCTCCCCCTTCCGAAGTGTGGCTTGTGAAGCTGTAGAATCCCATGCAGATGGAACACCTCCTGTAGATGCACCACTTGTTCTGAGTGCAACTTGAGCCATGAGCCAGACTCCTTGCTCGGGGTCTGAAGGAAGCAGAGGAGGGGTAGCTAGGCAGGAGGATGGATGACTGTAGTCTCCGTCCTGCCTGAATTTAGACCAGTTCAAGTGTGGATCCATTACTCTGGCTCCTTCTAGTCTCTTGGATCAGGCCCTTGAGCTAATGATCCAGGCTATGTAATCCTAGGGAAATGTAAATCAGAATTGAGAACAGTGGTTCTGGTGAAATAATAAACAGTTTAGTGCAGGGACGCCTGGGTGGTTCAGTGGTTGAGCATCTGCCTTTGGCTCAGGTCATGATCCTGGGGTCCAACGATTGAGTCCCACATCAGGCTCCCTGCAAGGAGTGTGCTTTTCCCTCTAAGTCTCTGCGCCTCCCTCCCTCCCTCCCTCTCCCTCTCTCTCCCTCTCTCTCTCTCTCTCTCTCTCTCTCTGTCTTTCACGAATTAAAACAAACAAACATAACACTTTAGTGCAAAAAGGCCAAATGTACGTTAGGTGCCACCAGTGGCATCACCAGCTCACGTGGCGTGGCCTTCCTCTGTTCATTGTGGGGGGGTTTCCTTCCTCTCTGGAAAGATGGCACCTGGATAGAAGACAAGAACAGGAGTGCTGTCTGGTGTCCGACATGATGACCCATACGCAGATCCAGACTGGCCGTCCCTTCCAACATGTGGAGCTCTGGGGTGCCACCCATCCGAATTCTGAATAGTCTGGGGCCGGTTTCCTTGGGGCCCCCCAGGGGATTTTCATTTATTCACTTTGAACTCCTACTGGGAAATCAGTGACTAGATTAGAAAAGTCAGCAAGCTCTTTATTCTTTAAGTAAAACTATATCATGTGTCCGCTGTTGCTAAATACAGAAATGTGCAGACCAGGCCTGTGCCCCTAGAACTCCAGTTCTATGGGTGGGAGTCATGGATACACATTTTAAGACAAAGAGCCTACCACTCAGGATGCATCCTACCTTCACAGGATGAGCCTGTGAGGAAAGCCCCAGAGTCAGGTGGGAGTGTGGGTATATTCACCATCATCGGTGGCATAAGTAAGACCATCAGAGGGGTGGGTGTCATTGGCGTTTTAATTTGTTCAGCATCTTGCTTGATGGTGTTTAGTCTGGCTACAAGCTCTGTGTATCACTGGAGTTTTGCTAACAGTCCTGCCAGGGGGCAGACAACCCCAGATTACATGATAATCGTTGAAAATGATCCATTTCCCAGACGCGTGGAAAACAGGAAAGCATGAGCAAGTTTCTAGTAACTCTTTACAGGGAATGAGAGTTACACAGCCTTCCTTGTTGGGTATCCAAATGTAGTTAAATTAAAAAAAGTTAGGAGCAAGGGTTGACATGGGAGGACGTTCTTTAAGAACTCCGAAAATTTCCCTGGCCATGGACCAAGACTGCAACAGCAGTTATAAGCACATGCAGTTAACAGCGTCACCAAATGGGAGGACACAGCAGGAGATAATAAGGCCGGAATGTAAAGCCATGTATTCCCCATGTTTTGATTTGGGCGGGAACAGCCTTGTCTGTCTCTGGCTATGAATACAAGGGCCTTGCGGTGCAGCCATTTTTCGGGGACCCCCTCATGCTGGATGTCAGGCAGAGCTGGGAGCTCAGATGGTGGTGGCTCCTGCAGGCACCCCTGCCTTCTCCTTAGAAGGGCCCTGAGAGGGGCGCCTGGTGGCTTAGTCAATTAAGCTTCTGCCTTCGGCTCAGGTCATGACCCCAGGGTCCTGGGATTGAGCCCCGCATCGAGCTCCCTGCTCAACCAGGAGCTTCCTTCTCCCTCTGCCCTTATCCACGTGTATTCTCTCACTGGCTCGCTCTCAAATAAATAAAATCTTTAAAAAAAAAAAAGCCCTGGGCAGTGCTTGCACCTGAATTGCCACTCCCGGTTTCCTGTTAACCACAGTCTCTGTGTCTCAAGTTCATTGGCACCGTCTTTATCCCATGAACATCAGCAAGAGACTGTTTTGGCTGCTAAGGATACAAGAGTAAGAAAAGCAGACAAAAAGCCTTGTCTATAACAGGAAGAATATGGATAATAAAACATGAGAGGTAGGGCAGTGAGAAGCGCTAAGGGAAAAATTGCAAAGCAAGGTAGGTGGGTTAGGTGTTAGGGGCCAGCAGGCGCTTCTTGCGACATGTGTGACATGGGGGAGCAGAGGGGTCGGCATCAACTTGGCACCTCCCATTCAAGCAGAAACCCAAAGCTTCCCAGATTCGTATGGGCTTCCTTTTTCAGAACAGACTCCCTTTCGAGCTTAGAGGATAATTGAAGTTCTCCAGTCATCGTCTTGCCTTCCCCTTTGCCAAGTCACAGTAAACAAACTTGCGGTGCAGCAGGCCTAGGCTGGGTGAGGTGCTAGGGGAGCACAGTGTGCCCAGGCAGCCAGCACAGCTTCACCCTGGGTGCTGATGCTTCCTCAGGAGCACCTGTCAGGTTTCCCCAGAGCCGAGCCACAAGCCTCAGTTCGGATTCCCTGAGCCCCGGTCCTTTAGGCTCCTGGATGAGTTGTAAAGGTGGGGATGGTCCCGACACCTGCACCGTGTCAGCACTGTGGGGGGCACCTCTTGCAACCACTCTTGTGCCCTCCACGCTCCTTGGGTGAAACACCACAGACACCTGCTGGCCACACCAGCACACTAGTATGGCACCCCAGGGCCGTCCAGACTGGGATTTGCCTGTCATGTTTTCTGTGGGTCTGGCAGGGAGCCTTCGAGATCCCCGAGCTGATGCACCAGGAGAACTGCTAGCCGGTCCCTGGAAGAAGTAGAAGAGGGTGGCCAAGTATGAAGACCAGGCTGTGGGGTCTGAGCGCCTTCCCTCTGCCCCACCCCACACCCCATGTACCCGGCTGGAAAGGGAAGTTCAGAAGGCCTGTGTGCTTGCTATAAGGTTAAAGATGAACATGTTCGGACTTGCCTCTGTGTTTTCTGTAGTTTGGGGAGTCATCTCATGGGGGCCACCCTGGTGCGCAGACAGGTGCTGCTGCTGCTGTCACCAGCAAAGAGCAACCCGGTGACCATGCCCCCTGCTCCCAGGACCCAGGGTGGGTGCCACACGGTCCCCATGCTCTTCATCCACTGGTCTTGAGTCATCCCAAAGGGGTTCAGCCCAGTCTGGAGGGATGTGGCCATATGGGTGGGACGTGCCGCACTGGCCTGGCCATCCCAGGAAGGCGCACGGTGGGCGCTCCCATCACCAAGGGCTCTTGGCAGGAGTGGGTGGGATGAGGAGAAGTTGGGTGAGCTGACAAGTTTTATTGCAAAGACAATTATTTCTTTTCCTGCCCTCAAATGACCCAACTTTTACTAGGAAAATAGGATTACATGTACTCATCCTTTGATGTTTTTAAAATGAAAATCTGGGAGAAACTTTCTCTTTCCTTAATTCTGAGAACAGAGATGTCCTAGGCAGGCGGTCTTGCCTTCAGCCTCACCCATAATCCCGGCAGAGGGTTTGAACTCAGGCCTAGCCTCCCTGCTGAACCCCAGGGGGCATCTTCCCATACCAGCAGACCAGTGGGGCCTCTGGGGACCTCGGGGTTCGCAGAGCACCCTGTGGTCTCCTGTTCACGCAGCCCCACATGCCCGAGTCCGTGACCCTGTCTGCAGGCAGCAGAGCAGCACGGCCGGGGCTACACCTAGAAGAGATGTCCATAGGGCCCAGGGCCACTGGCAGGCATGTGCAGGGACGCAGGCTTCCCTCCTTGGCTCCGGGAGTTCTCATGAAAACCAGCTGGCTCAGAGGCATTCGTGCCTGCAAAAGAATATAAAAAAATTCATGATTTGCTGGGTCTCGGCACCTTCATATTTCAAAATTCTCAGACCCTAGGGAATAGGATTTCGTCACAGATGTTCCTTTTAGTTTTTGTTTTCCAGAAGGTGGTTGGAGCAAAGTTTAGCTTGTGAGTGCACGTGACAGCACAGGATCCTCCCAGATAATTGCTTTTGTGGCCTTGCGCTGACCAAAGTTGTTACTGTGGTGGGAGGCAGCTCCTGGAGGTGTTAGGTTCGGGGCTTTTCTTCTTTTGGGGGCGGCTTCAGGTCTTGTGCCTTTCCTCGACAGGACTTTCCAACAGCCCTGGGGATCCAGCCCTTGGAACTCTGCACAGCTGCCTTGCCTCGTTGGCCAGGCGGCCTCGTCTTGTGCAGCCCTGCCCCAATGACCGACTCACGCCTACTCGGGTGACCGAGTGAAGACGGCTTGACGTCTCGCACAGCCCCCTTTTCTCCAGATACCCTTCCCGACCCTGACCCTTACCTGCCCCGGGGCTAGGGAGCCCCTAGGCTCGTGGCCCCCGTGGACTGATTTGTGCCCGGGGCGCTTGTCCTTAGCTCTGCAGGGGAGGCCTTGGTCCCTTTGCCATTGAGTCTCTGTTCTTTGCTCGCAGGCAGAACAGGCTGCCGTTTGGGACCCAGGGAACCCCAGCAGCAGACTGGCCCTGGGGGTTGGAAATTCCTGCATGCTGTTAATGGGCGATTTCTTTCTCCATCCCAGGTTCCAGGTGTGTGATGGTGGCTGCAATCTGTCTTGTGGGTATTAATGCAATCTTCAGTGATGGCTACTGTTCTCGAGCTGTTCTGCAAAACTGGAGCGTGCTGGTGAGTTCCAGTCAGAGGCCGAGCAGGCCCTCTGCGCTCCGGGCAGGGCACCAGGGCACCAGGGCACCATGATGTAGGTAGGGACGTCCCACCAGCATCCCGTGGGAGGAAGTCCTCGGCCTCTGGGGCTGTTAGCACCTCCCCGATGACTCCAGGGGGCGCTGTAGGTGAGATTGCCGGAGTCCGGGGCTTGCTCCAGCCACCGCGTGCTGCTGAGGTCAGGGTGTCCCGGGAGGGCCAGGGGTTCTGCAGGCCCTCGGAGCACATGGCCCAGTACCTGCTCGTGCCGCAACACCCAAAGGACTACTCCACGGACAGGAACTTACACATACATGACACTTTCCCCTTTGAACCCGTCAGCCTTTTTTGGAAATTAACTGTTTTGGTGAGAATCTTTTAGATGCAGTATGTATATTCCTCCTGACTTGTCAATCCAGTCGTACTGCACATACCTTAGCTGTGTCTCGATGATGCAGACATCTTCACAAGCCTCTTGGAATAAGCATGGTTACCCTTGAGCATAGCTGAATGAGGCAGGGTTCTCACTGAATTCCTCGAGACCCTGGACCTTCCTGCTGGGTATTGTTTTGGTGATTTGTTCATCTCATTGGTCGTTCCACCAGCTTGTAGTAGTAAGCGTAGTCTTACTACTACAGGTGACCAGCCTGCGGGCTGCCACACAGAGGGGCTTCCAGTCTCTCTGGAAAACTTGGCCTGGAACGACCGGAGTGCCAAGGGCAGGCCCACAGCGGTTAGGTCTTGGCCCAAATAAGGTGGCGAATTTCATCCCTAAGGGGCCTATGAAGAAAAGATGAGTCAGAGGGCAAGATTCCTGCTAAAGACAGAGAACCAGGCAGATCTAGCCAAGGAGGTCATTACCACATTTTTGGGACTTAGGTAATTTCTTGCTCACGCCCTGAGCCAAAGACAGATGCTCAACCGCTGAGCCACCCAGGCGTCCCCTGGTAAAACTTTCTTAAAGGACAAGATTTTGGTTTTTTTCTCCTCCCCCTCTCGCACACTTTAAAGACCAATTAAGTGGTACCTGGGCACTCAGTCAGTTGGGCATGTGTCTGCAGCTCAGGTGTCAGGGTCCCAGGGTCCTGGGACTGAGCCCCAGGTCAGTCTCCCTCTCCTCCACCTGCTTGTGTGTGCACTCACTCGCTCTCTGTCAAATAAGTAAATAAGATCTTTTTTTTTTTAAAAAAAAAAAAAAAGGCCAATTAGGGGGATGCCTGGCTGGCTCAGTGGTTGAGCATCTGCCTCAGGTTGTGGCCCCAGAGTCCCCGGCTCGAGTCCCCGTATCAAGCTCTGTGAAGGGAGCCTGCTTCTCCCTCTGTCTCTGCCTCTCCCTGTGTGTCTCTCATGAATAAATAAAATAAATAAAATATTTTAAAAATAAATAAAAAAGACCAGTTGAAAGCTACCCATATAATTTTTTGGAAGCAGGTTAGAATAAGGATTTTTTTAAATGTAATAAATTGACCCAAACATCAGTAATCCAGGGCAAATGCAGATGAGCCCAGTCAGGAAGCAGTAGCAGCTAGAGCACGCGGTGACTTCATTTAGACAATGGCCTGGGGACCTGGAGCAAAAAAGGTGTAGGGGCCAACCTTGGGACTTGGGGCAGCTGACAATCTGGTTACAAGTGGCCGGCCAGCATGGGCCAGACAAGATGGCGGGCACCTTGGCACTAGCCATGCCCAGCTTGGGGCTCACCAGTTCTGGAGCCATCCGTGGGGTACAGGAACGGGTTTGGAGGAGGCCTACTCTCAGCACTGCTTCTGGCCTGCCCCTGGAGGGTGGACATGGGCCTGGACTATGAGGAGGCCGAGCCTTCTCTGGCCAGGAGTGGGAGCTGGAACCCACGCAGGGCAGTGGCCTGCTGCCAATGCTGTGCTAGCATCTGGGGCCAGTGGGCACGCACATGAAGGGGCAGGTGGGGGTGTGTATATAGAACAGGGGGGAGCAGTTTCCAACTACAGAAGACTGTTCCCCTGGAGACTCTTGCCTATGAACCTTTTAAACTGTTAAGTAGGCCTTTTATTACAAATTAATATCGGTATTTGAGTTTTAAAAAGATCAAGCTAACAGGCATAATATGAAAACTATATGTTACGTGTGTATTGGGAGCTGAGGAGAGGGGAATATTCCTTATCTGACTTGGGTATAAATGACTACACTAGTCAACAGGTCAAGTGTATGGAGTAGGATGGGGAAACAGGATTTTCTTCCTGCCGGAGCTGAGTGGGGAAAGACCGGCCAGGCCTGGCAGGGTTCCCGCCCCAGACGCAGCAGCAGCTGTGCCCAGTCCCCAGGGCCACAGGCTGATCTTTTTGATCAAGGACAACTGACATGTTTTAGAATCGTAGAATATCCTTTCAGACGGCGAGAGTGTCCATGGTCTCCAGCGGGATGGTTGTGACCTGGCTCCGACTAGCTGTTTTTATATCTGTGTTCCCCGGTCTGTCCGTCCACCGCCGTCAGGAAAGGCTGTGAGGAGGAGCCGATCTGCAAATGGAGCCCCCCACCCTCCCCACCCCCCACCCCACCCCACCCCCCCCCGGTGCTATGTGTTCCCGGATGTCTCTGTATTCTGTTTAAAATGTCCTTGTTAATACATTCCAAGGTTTGAACTCCGTTCTTAACTAAACCCCTTCCTTGTTTACAGGGACTGAAATAGCCACATTCTGACCTTCTGTTCAGTCTGGGAACCTCTATGGCCATGTGGACGCATTCTTTTCCCATGTGAGAGTTCTATCTACAGAGCGCAGTTACGGCAAAGCTCGGGAAACCATCCGCTCTCGTCCCCCCTTCTCTCTCCACTCCTCTCTCCACGGTTTCCACTTCAAAGCCTTTCTGATCAGCCACAGTTGGCCAGCCTCATGCACCTTGCTCCCTGCTCTGGAGTCCAGGGAAGGGGACAGGGTACTGGGAGGTCAGGGGGGCTGCTGAGGGTGCCCCAGGCTCAGCCAGGGGCCTTATTCAGACTATGGAACCGAGCCTCGGTGCCATGTGCCCCGGGCTGTCCGTGGCCCCCATTTCCACTACTGCCCCAGGGTGCAGCAGGGTGCAGGTGTCGGAATTTCTGCTACACGCAAGGGACTGTGTCTGGGCTGGAGAATGTAGCGTGAGGGACAAAAGTCGTCCAAGATGCTCCTTGGGACACCCAAATGGTGGCCTGACCGGGGAGGACTCTTGGCTGGGGCTCAGGGTTTGCAGGAACAGGAGGAGGAAGGGTATGTACCGGCGTCGCGGCGAAAGTGGATCATGACCAAGCCGCTGGGTCCAAGTCCAGGTGCGGCAAAAAGATGCCGCTCAGGAGTGGGCCCGTGGTCCGCCCCCGCTCAGAGCATCTCGGCTGTGCGGCGCCTGCTGGGACGCACTGTGCATGGGTCCGGGGCACCTGCCAGGCCGACCGGGACCCTGTCCTTAGCCGGGCACCAGGGGGAGGCAACACAGTCCGAGGGGAGATTCCCAGGCGGAATCTCTGTCCTGGCATTTCAGAGAGCTCTGCTGAGAGTGAGTCACCGGGGTGCTGTGTGCACCGGGCCTCCCTGACCTTGACCTGGGAGCGCGTCTCCCACCCCGGGGCACGCTGGGCCTCGCTAGAAGCAGCAGAGTTAAACTGATGAGCTAGCGAATAGTGGCAACAAGCTCAAGGGACCGGTTAAGTGTCACTAACATCACAGGTGAGACTCTGAATGTCCAGATCCTGTGCTCGAAAGCGCACCCCAGTTTCTCCCGAGGCAGAGTGTTCCATGAACCATAGGTTTGTGGTGATGATACTGAATCTTCCGACTCGTGGTCCGATCTTTCTGCTGCGCCTGCTCACAGGCTGTGCCACGGTGTAGCGGGTCATAGCAGTAGCGCAGGCCTGGCTTAGGAGGAGGATTTCCCAACATCGTCCCGTTTGTGATGTTCCGGACTGTTCACGGGAGGTGTCTCACCTCGGGATTCACGGCTAAATACACATCGTCCCAAATAAGGCTCACTTGGGATAGTTAGATGGGTGTTACTAACGCCGTCTTCATAGCTTCCTCCCGCGCCCAAATAAGCACTGCCCTGCACAGAATTCTAGTGCCTGCCGTTACTCCTGCCGAGACCTTTCCACACCTTTATGAGTCCAGCGTGTTGGTAAGACGGCAGGAAAACAGGGACAGAAGAACAGTAGAGGTTCACTGTGCAGCCTTGATTAGGAAAACCGTAGAACCACACTGGGACCGCGCACGTGGCAGGAAAAATCTCAGGGAGGAGTCAGAGGCTTGTTTTGTTTGCCACCAAGCAAAACACACGTGAGCACTTCCTTGCAGATGCCAGGAAGCAGCTCTTGAAATGTCTGTGGCGAGAAAGAAATACATACACTGCCCGTGTGTCCACGGTGAGAACCCTGCTCCCAGGAGGGGTCTCTGGAGGGTCAGTCGGTGCGTCCTACAGGCGTCCACGCATCCTGCTGGGTTAGGGAAGCTCCCAGCCGCTCCCCGGGAGGTGAGCTCTCCCCTCACACATTCTCTTTCTGTTTCAGGCTTGAAAACACCTTGCCCAGTTTTGGTCCCTTCAAGACTTTGCCACAGCCTCTATCACACATCTGTTTTTCTCGAAGAAAAAATATAATAAAAATGTTTTACTCTTTTACACTGTATAATTTTAAGAAATAGTGTGTTATTTGTGAACGCATGGTCTGACATTTCTGTACAGTTTGGAGATATTTTCAAACAAAACATAAAAGATGTCAACAATAAACCAAGAGAGTGAGTATTTTTATACCAAACATTTTAAGTATGAGAGGATGGATGATCTTACACTGGTTTGGATCACAATTTTTGTGCTTGACTTTTGAATGCTTGTAATTAAAAATATCTATTTTTTCTCCTCCAAGATGCATGTTCGAAGCATGTCTTTAAATATTACAAAATTTCTGGAATCGTATGGTGAACGTCCGGCAGTCCGCCTGCCTGGCCGGATCCAGGGTAATGTAAGAAAGCCGTGTCAGAGGTTAGGAGCAGGCGACCTGCGGCCCGGCTGGGTACGCACCTCCAGGTCTAAGAGGACACTCCGCAGGAGCTGTTCCCACGATGACACGCTGATAGCTAGACAAGCCTTTCATCGGTTCGCGCTCCAGATCCACGTGCGCCGTTAGCCCTGGCAGCTCCTGAGGAGCCCATGCAAACTGCCTGGGTGGGTTTTGCTATGGTCTGAGGTGAGTTATCCTGCCACTGGCTCACCCTGCGTGTGAGACGCACCTGCGCACACCTCCCCCAGGGGAAGCACACACGTTCACAGCTAGCTGGCTGCTACAGGCAGCTCCTATCGCCCAAGTGATTTTTCAAAACCTTGGTTGAACTGAGCTGCTGGTCCTGGCTTGCGGCAGCACCACACCAGATGAAGCCTCGTCACAGCACTCTCTCGAAGGCTGTGCGCCCACGGTGACACCACCCACTGCGCCGGCCGAAGAGAGAGGGCGCGGCCCCCAGGCCTTTGCAGGGAACACTGTTCAGCTTACTTCAAAACCAGTCTGATGCTGGAAGCGGATGCCTTCCCAGAGTCGGTGACCGCTCAGTCTCCCCCCCCCCCCCTTGTGGTGGAAGAGCCTGTGTAAAAATAAACTGACCTAAGAATTTTCATCTGCTGATGGAGCTCATCAGTTGGCTGCCTGGCTTATTCTCCCGCTGGGCTGAAGACTTCCGTGTTTGAACCATGACATGGTTGGTTCTGGGGTGGGGAGCTGGCTATTTTCCACTAGAAATAAAGAGATCAAGCAGCTTCTAAAGGTCCTTACAAGAGAGACAACAAAAGAGCTGGTGGGGGGGACACTTGGGGCGGCGAGGGGGGCCCCTTTCAAAGCCTGCTTATGCCTTCCACACCGCACGGCTCCCGGGGAGACTTCTCTACTCTTGTTTCTAAGGAAAACACACTGCCACACAGCCTACTATACTTTTATAAACTGTTTAAAGGTACTTTTCTATTGTCATTTTAAAAAATAAAGTGCTTTTTCCAGCTGTCACACTATTGCTTGGCCAATTATTTTCTGCAAGATCAAGCAAGAGCCTCCCACCCTGCAGCCCAGCAGGTTCTTTCCCATTCTCGGTGCTGACAAAGCTGAGGCCAGAAGGCCTGAGGAAAGGGGATGGGATGGGACAGCCAGAGAGCAGCCTCTGCCACTGCTTGGCTGGGGGCACGCGGTGACCCACTGATGCCCTAGGGCCCGGAGGAGGATCTCCAGGTAGGTCCGCTCCCTCCTGGATGCCTTTTATCACACCCAACAGACCTCGCACCCACGTCAGCCTGCAAAGCCTTCGAAGCCTTCAAGCGTTCACTGAAGGGTCATTTAAGTGACAAGCCAAAGCAGGGACAGCCTGAGGCCGGTGACTCAGACCCATTTAGCCACCGCTTCTGCCCCCACCCCCCACCCCAGGGGCAGAGGAACCCACAGTGCTCCGTTCTGAGTAACCGCAACAACCAGGAGTACCTCTCCAGTAGTCTGGTGGGCGCTGACGCAGAGGGCCCAGTGTCCTTCAGTGCTCCCTCTGCGGAGGGACCACCCACCCGAAGCAGGTCCCAGTCCCGCCCTGGAGCGTCAGTATGACCACAGGCGGGGGGGGGCACTGGGCGGTCTGGGAACGGAGGGCAGCTGGCCCCAAAGGTGCTGCTCTGGGATGCGCCATCCCAGCCAGCAGCTCAGCACCAGCATGTCCATACGCTGTGTCCTCCGGGCCCCGGGCAGCGCTCTGCTGGTGGCCATCGCGACAGGTGCCACACTGGATGGATGATGTATCAGATATGTCCCCACTGACCAGTATGAAAATCCATATTCTCTGTCACCCTGGAACACGGCCACTCAGTCCTCGGTTTTGTCTGGTTGCCAAGTGACCCTTCGTGTTCACTTGGGCCACTTGTGAGCACAGGGCTGGCTATAAAGCTGACACCTGAAATTGAATACTATGCCTTCCATCTCTGAGACAAAACTACAAATTAATTTGGAAAATAACCCTAACACTTGCAAAATGAAAGGTACACTTCCAGGTGATCATTCAAGGGCTTCAGATTCCCCTTTTTGAACTTGGCCACAGTAACTTCTTGCAAGATACATCCACGAAGGCAAAAGAAACAAAAGCAAAAATGAACTATTGGGACTTCATCAAGATAAGAAGCTTTTGCACAGCAAAGGATACAGTCAACAAAACTCAAAGACAACCTACAGAATGGGAGAAGATATTTGCAAATAACATATCAGATAAAGGGCTAGTTTCCAAAATCTATAAAGAACTTATTAAACTCAACACCAAAGAAACAAACAATCCAATCATGAAATGGGCAAAAGACATGAAGAGAAATCTCACAGAGGAAGACACAGACATGGCCAACATGCACATGAGAAAATGCTCTGCATCACTTGCCATCAGGGAAATACAAATCAAAACCACAATGAGATACCACCTCACACCAGTGAGAATGGGGAAAATTAACAAGGCAGGAAACAACAAATGTTGGAGAGGATGCGGAGAAAAGGGAACCCTCTTACACTGTTGGTGGGAATGTGAACTGGTGCAGCCACTCTGGAAAACTGTATGGAGGTTCCTCAAAGAGTTAAAAATAGACCTGCCCTACGACCCAGCAATTGCACTGTTAGGGATTTACCCCAAAGATTCAGATGCAATGAAACGCCGGGACACCTGCACCCCGATGTTTCTAGCAGCAATGTCCACAATAGCCAAACTGTGGAAGGAGCCTCGGTGTCCATCGAAAGATGAATGGATAAAGAAGATGTGGTTTATGTATACAATGGAATATTACTCAGCCATTAGAAACGACAAATACCCACCATTTGCTTGAACGTGGATGGAACTGGAGGGTATTATGCTGAGTGAAGTAAGTCAATCCGAGAAGGACAAACAGTGTATGTTCTCATTCATTTGGGGAATATGAATAATAGTGAAAGGGAATATAAGGGAAGGGAGAAGAAATGTGTGGGAGATATCAGAAAGGGAGACAGAACATAGAGACTTCTAACTCTGGGAAATGAACTAGGTGTGGTGGAGGGGGAGGAGGGCGGGGGTGAATGGGTGATGGGCACTGAGGGGGACACTTGTCGGGATGAGCACTGGGTGTTATTCTGTATGTTGGTAAATTGAACACCAATAAAAATTAATTTATTAAAAAATAAAAAAAATTAAAAAATAAAATGGTTAAAATTAAAAAAAAAAAAAAGGGGGGGCTTCAGATTCACCGCACAGATGCTGGACCAACTGGGCGATCCCGGCCTTCACCTCTGAGGTTCACCCAAAGCCTAGGACCCCATGGCATCTTCGGGTCCTGACTTGTGTGGCATAAAGAACATTCTTGAGCATGAGGAGGTGTGGCTCATCTCTGTGAATTCCTTATATACTCAGCCGGTTTCGGGGTGACGAATCCGCTAGCTGTTCCTGGGGGCTCTGAGCAGGGAACGCTGAGCCTGAGGAGTATGTTCAGATTTCCCCGTGCTCCACACCACTGGGGCATCTGAAAGTTGGGTGAAAAGGGCATTCCTACCAGCCTGAAGAGCAGCGGCACGTGGCTGCCCTGAAGCTCCAGCTCTAAACCCCGCACCTTCTCTTGCTGCCACACACTTCCAACATCCTCAGAAGGCCCTAGAATACTTGTTACTGGTGAGATATTACCTGAAACTGCCCTCAAGACGCCTACACTAAAACCCACTGTGCTCATCTTGGGTTCTGAGTCTGAGCCCCAAGTAGGGCATACAGATTAAACAATTTGCACTCACTTGACACTCCCACGAACAGGCCAGAGGACACGTTCCAAGGTCCAGTTAGTGCAAGGGGGGTTCCTAGAGGACCTAGGATCTGCAGCCCACCCTCTGCTCCCACAGAACACCTATCAGGACGAGCTCAGGACGGGCTCACAAAAGACACGCTGGGCAAGAACATAATGTCCTACATGAACCCCCAGGGACAGCACTACGCTGATGACAGGTCGGCCTGTCACTGCTGTCCCCGCAGTGCCACTCCTGCCTTGCTACGCCGTTGACTGCTGGTCCTGACTTGTTCAGAACAATCTGGAAAAGCCTCACAAAACCCCCTATCTTCCTGGCAAACGAAACCTCTAATCAGCAGCTACAAGGAAGAGGGGACACTGAGTCTCACCCTCCGGCCTCAGAAAATCATCACTAGCTGGTAGGAACTGGGGAATTTACAAATCCAAATGCCATCATCCCACACTCAGAACATGTGTTGTCTGCCGGTGATTTCAAACAGCTCACCGAACAAATCACGGACGGCGTATTCATAGTGCCCTCCCCACGAACACGGACTGGACACGGTGGGTATCCCCCGCACTGCCTTCCAGCTGGGCCTCTGCTGCTCGGGCAACAGGTGCCCCTCCGTCATCTAGGGTGTGACAGCAGCAGCCGTATGTTCGTTATGTTTTGCCCAGGCACAGCCACCTGCCTCTTCCCTATCCCCTAAAAGCCTCAAATGTCATCAATTATAGAATAAAATACACTGCGGGTTGTCTTCACGTCTTAAATCACCCAGCCATGCCCAGTCCCACTTGCTTCTAGATGGCCAGCAGGCCCAGCAGAAATGGGCTGAGGCAAGAGCGGGACTCCACCTTGAATTTCTAGTGGCTATGTTTTTAGACCAAGAAGGT